CGCCATAACTAAGATCTGGAAACAGCCTAAGTGCCCATGTGAAAAAGAATGGATTAGAAAACTGTGGTACATCTACACGATGGAATACTATGCTGCTGTAAAAAAGAAGGAACCCTTACCATTTGCAATGGCATGGATGGAACTGGAGAGCATTATGCTAAGTGAAATAAGCCAGTCAATGAAAGAAAAATACCACATGATCTCACTCATTTATGGATAGTAAAGACCATTATAAACTGATGAACAAAAATAGATACAGAGGCAGAGCAACATCAAACAGACAGTCAAACTACAGTGGGAAGGCTGGAGGGAGTGGTTGGGGGGCAAGAGCGGGGGTAAGAGATCAACTGAAGGACTTGTATACATGCATATAAGCATAACCAATGGACATAAGACACTGGGGGTTAGGGGAGGCCGGGGAAATATCAAGAGGGGAAAAAAAGGAGACATATGTAATACTCTTTGTAATACTTTAAGCAATAAAACAAAATTTTAAAAAAAGAAGTCAAATACACAGAGGCACAGAGTGGAACGTGGTTATCAGGGATGAAAGGTGGGAAAAATGGGAAGATGTTGGTCAAAGTGTATAAAGTTTCAGTTAAGGGTGAATCAATCTAGAGACCTATAGTCTACAGCAGTGATGGCGAACCTATGACACACGTGTCAGTAGTGACACGTGAACTCATTTTTTGGTTGATTTTTCTTTGTTAAATGGCATTTAAATATATAAAATAAGTATCAAAAATATAAGTCTTTGTTTTACTATGGTTGCAAATATCAAAAAATTTCTATATGTGACACGGCACCAGAGTTAAGTTAGGGTTTTTCAAAATGCTGACACACCGAGCTCAAAAGGTTCGCCATCACTGGTCTACAGCATTGTAACTATCTATATAATCTATCTGTATAAAAGGCTAATATGCTAAGTGTCTGACCATCCGGGTAATGACGTCAAGCAGCAACACCTGGCTTCCTCTCCCTAGCGATGACTAGCCTCAGGTGGAAACACTTTATACTTTAACCCAGTGGTTTGCAAACCGCTGCTCTCGAGCCACATGCCGCTCTTTGGCCCCTTGAGCGTGGCTCTTCCACAAAATACCACGTGTGGGTGCACACGTACAGTGCAATTGAAACTTTGTGACCCATGCGCAGAAGCCAGAATTTTGTGGAAGAGCCACACTCAAGGGGCCAAAGAGCCCTATGTGGCTCGAGAGCCGCAGTTTGCCGACCACTGGTTTAACCAAATGTTTGGGAAGCGTTTTACTGTGCCTCATCTCATTTGATCCTCACAGAAGTCCTGGAGTAGGTAGGTCAGAGACTCGGTGGAATCCTATTTTCTTTTCATTAGCTGGAAAACGGAGATTTAGAAAGCTTAGAAACTTGACCTGACTGAAAAGAAGTAAGAAATGGTGGACTTTAAAAATGACTTCAGGTTTTCTCACTGTGCAGAATATAGTCAAACACTGCTGAAGTTAAATATTTTACCCTTTGTTCTTTCTGCTGATCTACAATAATAATGTGCTTTGTGTTGATATTTACTGCTGTGTTGCTGACAATTACTTGAAAAAGAAGTTGGGGTGCTTCACTGGGCTGGAAAAAGTTTACATCAGAAAGCAGGTCTAATTAAGCAAGTTTGTTTTATATCTATAAAAGGCTGAGTTGATTCACGCATGCACAATACATGTAAAACTCTCGCTGGCGCCAAATGCACACGTGTGTTCCAATCTGCCACTGTCGATTGTGAATTTGGTTGACACTTATAGAGAAAGGGCGAATAGCAATATTAAAATATTTCTTCTAATTAATTTCCTTTCAATGTGTGTAAATTTGTGCACCGGGCCACTAGAATTTAATATTGAAGAGTCGAAATATGCTAAGAGTAAATTTCAGTGGCTCTGTTCACAAAAAAAGGCACTATGTGAGAAGAAAGTTAATTAGCTTGACTGTAGTAATTATTTTATGATGGATAAGTATATTATATCATCAGGTTATACACCTTAAATATACACACTTTTTATTTAAAAAAAAAAAGAAAAAAAACCCCAGAAGAATGAGCAAAGAAAGTTGTACATCTTCTCCTTGATATTATTTCACTCCTCTCATGGCTTTAATTAAATCTTTTTGTTATTTTTGTCTGGTATTCAAGACAGGATTTATAAGAGTAAAATAAGAGATTTGTAAATAGTTTGCAGAAGGAAATAAATGGTTGGAGTGTCATCAGTACACCACCAAATGGAGCCAAATACCAAGTTTCATTCAAAACAGATTTTTGGCATTTATCTTCTTTGCAAAATCATGGCACATCTAAGTTGAGTATTTGTTTTATTATCTTGCTTCATAACTTACATAAAAATGATAAATTCTTTTGTATGTATTAAATATATAATAAAGTAGGAATTTAATATATTTTAAAAATATCCTATATAATAAAAGGCTGATATACAAATTGTCGCCTCAACTGGGAGTTTGACCAGGAGTTCAACCAGGTGGTGGAGCCGGCTGGCCAATTTCCTGCCGTCCCTCCTCCTGGTCGGTCCTGCCCCTGATTGACCCTGATCGGGGCAGACCGGCCAGGTTCCACCTGTGCACAAATTCATGCACCGGGCCTTTAGTAAAATATATTTATACTTAGTATAGTTAATGATATATGCATATATGTATGTGTATATATAATGTATATATACAATGTGTATATATAATGTGTACATATTGTGTGTGTGTATATCTATCTATCTATCTATCTATCTATCTATCTATCTATCTATCTACCTACCTATCTATAGGTATTATCCTGTAGATTCTGTTTCCCTAAAGTCTGTGTTGTGTTACCTGCCTTGAACTTTCATGGCTAGAGCTTAGTTTAGGCCCTTAATATTTTTTACCTTTTTTTGCTTCCATAGGCTTCCTTCTTCCTGTACCCCATTAATTAAGTTACACTAGAATGTCACTACAAATTATGTCATCCATTTACTTAAAATTTTCCCATGGCTATGTATAACCTTCTACATAAAATTCAAACTCTTTAGCTTGGCCCATGAGGTTCCTCATCATCTAATTCTGAACCACTTCTCTAGCTTTATCTCCTAATCTCCCATCTCTCCCTAAATGCAAATCCCAAAATATCAGAACTAAAATACCCTTCTCATAGGTAGGCCCTTGAACATGTCAGAATAAGTCATCCTTGGTTCTTTTGAACCTATTATACCTCCTATGTGAAGTACCTTTCCCACCCTTCCTTGTCTAGCTGACCGCTACCCAAATCATTCACAACTCATCTCAAGTGTCACCTCCTCCAGGAAGCCTCCCGTGCACCCCAATCTAATTTGGATATTCCCAGAGTACCCAGGTTTTCATTATAGTGCTCACCTCATTACTTATATTTGTGGCTCTGTTTTCCCAAGTAGACTGTAAACAGCTATAGGAATGGGGACTGTGTTGTTGAATCCCTAACTCCTATCACACTGCCTGGCATATAAGTGCTTAATACATTTTTGTTGAGTTGGATGGAGAAGTTTGTCTTAGTTATTGATCACCTAATTCTTATTTGGTCATTAACACTTCAGCGTTATTAACAAGACTCTGGGGTAACAAGGGGTAATCCAGGAGTGAGGAAAGAGTTGCTGGCAGAAGAAGTAGAGATGGGAAGGTGTTCATGGTCAGCCATTTTTGATGTTTCTACCAGAGTGGTCTGCCATTGTAAATGCCTAAAAGTATTTACTGAATGTATACCATTAGTTCTTTTGATTTAGAAATCTCATACATGAGGTTCAAAATTGTATGCATTGGCAGTAGATGCCTTTCGTTAGATTTTACATATAATTCTTATATATTTTAAATGTTTAATGAGAATTTGATACCTTTGGGGATTTTATATGTGGTTATGAGGGTCTGTCTTTGGATGTTGGCCTTTGGACATGAGGGCTGTAAAGACAAGACTTGAACTAGACATTCTGTATAAGGGTGCTTTTATAGAAACCTTGGATCTCACAGGAAGCATGAGGTTTTCAAATTCTATGACACAACTATCATCTCATAAGTTAAGCTTAATATAAAGACAGTACCTTGTTTGGGACCACATGGAACTTATTTGGGAATGAGAATTCAGTGGCCAAGAACTGACTGCTAAACATGAATTAGTTAATGTGCTGCTTCTCACCTGGCTACTCTTCCTCGAAGGTCTCCAACTCCTTGAAGGTGTCTGCTGTTTAGCTCCTGTACTGCAAAATTAGTCCCTGTGGCCGCCTGGTCTCGGGCTCTTATTTGGTCTTCTAAAATCTGTAAGTTTGAGTCAAAATTCCTATTAATTTCTCTTCACACATGGTAAGAAAATATCATTTAAAGCAAAGGTTAAACAATTGAATGCATTTCCTAGTTAGGCTGATAGTGACAGTAAAATGTCAGAGAGAAGCAATCCCTACTTTATTACAGGGAGGCAGCGACAGCGTGATTCCGGCTGATTGTTGCCAGGAGGGAATGATGGTTTCACAGTGTTTAAACAGAAGCCAGAACTCCAGATTTTATGTTAAATCTCTCAGTGTTTAAATATTGACATGTTACTCAGACTCCGTCCTTAGTAACGTCTTCATTATGTCGAGATGTTCTGAAGTAGTCAGCTCCACACTGCTCTATACCACCAGGTTGGAGGTCCCAAGAATAGAATTTTTGAAATTTTTTGCACTAATAATATAAATATTAATTTAATAATTGAAAAAATTTTGCTTGCCCATAGAAAATAAAATGATGCCACTTAAACAATTTCCAATGTAAAGTCAGGATGTATAAAAATAGTTTATATTTAGTCAGAAAACAGTGAGAATATACAGTGAGAATATGGGACTTTGGAAAACAATTTGTGGTGTGGAAAAGCATCCAAGTTTAGCTGCTGTGTATGACCAAGGCCTGAACTATATTTAAACTTATATTTATGAATTTTTGGAGGAAAAGAAGACATTTTATAGCAAACAAATTATAGAAATTTCAAAGACCATATACAGAATCCTAAGCTGGCAGATCAAGACAATTTGAGAGCAAATAAAGCTTTAATTAAAAACATAAAAGTGTCAAGAACACTAGCTAGAATTTTTTATTTTTTTGGTTTTTATTTGTTTTTGCATGTGTGTAGATGTCTTAGTCTGGGTTGCTATACATATTAAAAATACCACAAGCGGGGTAGCTTATAAAAACAGAAATGTATTTCTCACAGTTCTTGAGGTTGAAGTCCAAGACCGGGATGCCAGCATGGCCAGGTTCTGGTGAGAGCCCTCTTCTGGTTGCAGACTGCCAACTCCCTAGGGAGCCGTGTGGCATCTCTCTAATAGGGATACTGATCCCACTCACCAACATTCCACCCCCACAACCTAAGCAGGTCCCCAAGACCCACCTCCTAATACCATCACATTGGACATTAGGATTTCAAAATATGAATTTGGGGGGCACAAACATTCAGATCATAAGAGTAGGTGTTGTTATGCTTTGTTTTAGTCGAGAACAGTGATGAAAGGGAACTTGCCCTACTAAATTTTATAAAATAAGGATAAGTAAATCAGTGTAGCTAAAGAGATATCTATAGCTAAATAGATAAATGTAATGAAGTTGCTGGTAAATTTAAGAAAGAAATAGGCTATACATGAGACTCACAAATCAGTGGGGAAGGAATTTCACAAATGGTATTGGCTCTCTGGTAACTTATTCAGAAAACAATCCATTTAGATCCTTATGTCATAACATCCATGTAGATTTTAGAAAAAATAGATTATAAATAAATAAAATGTTAAACCATAAAAATGACCGATAATAGAGGAGATTATTTCGTCTTTGAATAAAGAAATTTCTATTTTTAAAAGTAATGAGAACAATCACAAAACCAAATATTGGAATGTTTAAGTTTATAAAAAGCTTATGAAACATTATAAGTATAATTAAGATAAAAAACAACCAGCTGGAAAAACTTAACAGTCACTGCCGAGGGTTTCAGTGCTGTGCTACAGTCAGCATGCACCTGTTGCGAGAGCCAGCCACATTTACCTCTTCTCATCTTTGTGTTCAGTAACATACTGTTGGTATTTGAAGTCAATCATAGTGAGAGTATTCACACCATGCAAACAGGCAAACACTGCAAATCATATTTTTATCACCCAGAAAAAAATTGATTGCTGATTGTTAAACACTTACCAACGTACCACTGGTTATTATTCTTAATTAATAAAAAAGCACAACAAGCCAATAAGAATAAAAAAGCACTAATTACTCCCCCAAATAAATTGACTAAAGACATTAACAGACTATCAACAGAGAAAATGCAAATAATTATGTCACTTTTAAGAAATGAAAAAAAAATCTCATTTCTGTCCCATCATATTAGCAAAGATTGAAATAATAAATCTCAATGTTGGCATCAGCACAGTGAAGAAAGCACATTCATATAATGCTAATGGAAGTATAAATATTATGAAACCCTTGTCTGGAAGTTGCTACCCCAGATTAGTCAAGCCCATCAGCACTTTAAACACAGGGCTGAAATATCTGTAGTTAAAACCTGTCTATCATGGTTTAACCCAAGCATTTTATTTTTTGATCAGAAAATCAAGTTTTCCTTCAGTAGCTTAAACTTCATTCATTAATTCATTCATCTATTCAGCAA